TGGATGCAGCTTCCATTACAATGTAGAGAGTCCCATTGCAAACTTCAATGAACTCATACACTCTTACAATGTGTGGATGCCGAATCCCTCGCAAGATAGAGAGTTCCCGCGGTAGAAACTTCTCCACAAAATCCCGGGGTGCTCGACGTCGGTCCACCATTTTGATTGCTAATGGTCCCTTGTATTTGGCAGAGGTGGCCACTCTCACCTTGGAATAGCTTCCTTCTCCTAAGGTCTGGCCCAGCTTATAACCCAGGTCACTCAAAAGTTTGTCTCCTTTGGAAGCCCTTGACATGATGACCTGGTTAGGCTGAAAAAGCCTTTAGTTTTCTTTCTGGGACTCAGTGCTTTAACCCATTGTGATTGATATCTCTAGACCTTTACTCCCCATGTGCCCTCTGAGGCTTGGGCTTCGAAGTCATCACTACTCATATATGTATTGTGAAGTGCAAGAGGTGTCATGGGTTATGTCTGCAATGCACAATCAGAGGTGTCAGCTGGTCCCTTTAGGTCCAGAGAAATTCAGTTTAGATACTCCAAGGAAATCCTGGAAGAGAATTCGGTTCTTCTTATTGTTCTAGCTCTTCTCTGTAATGTATTTGTTTTCTATGCGGAGAAATCCTGTATATGTTTTTAAGAACTGCGTTTTCTTTACTAAAATGTTACAACCCAGACGATCATGTGCTGAACTTTTGTAATCTTTGAAGCTTCTCATCTCTCAGGAATTCAGTACTTCTTTTAGAAGTTAATTTTACAGTGAGCACTTTTTTTTAAAAAAAGAATCATTTTCCAGCAATTTAAAGGATTAAATCAAGTTGTGCCAATTAAGAGGAGAGTTATCAAACTTGATCATGATGTGGAACCCATTAATTTTGTTCTCTAAAAAAATGTTCTGGAACCTCTGATTAAGAGGCAAAGCTCTAGTGATTGCAGACTGGTCGCGTCTGAGCGAAAAAATATTTTTCCCCCTTTGTTATGGAGTCCCATCAAGTTCTTATAGTTCACCATGTAACACAGTTTGAAAAACCTGATCTTAAGAGCTTTAAATGTCTTGGATATATAAATGGATCATCAACTTGAAAGAAAATGACTTGAAATCCTTCTCATTAATATGTATTAGCACCAGAATTTATTTTAATGTGTATGATAAAAAAACAGGTCTTGTGCCCGTTAAAATAATAGTCTTGATAAAGAAAGTTTAGAATAGCTTTTCAAGGAGTTTCAAGGTCAAACTAATCAGATAAAAGTAAAGTCTTCAGCTCATTCAGTTAGGAATGTCATAAATAGGAAACTGACCCATTCAATGAAGAATTCTTTTAATTAAATGCTTTGATTAGTCCTTCAGTGTAGAATAAGGATACGGCCATCTAACCCTGCCTCAGAATAGGAATCAATTGGAAATCAAATAGGTATTAAACATATTGTAGCTGACATTTGCTTCACATAAAATTATGAATATGCATCGTAATTAAAATGGATAGGAGAATCTTGTTTTTCCAGGAAGGAAATAACAACTGTTCCTCCAAATAATGGCTTCTTCTAGAAATATTTCTAGAATATTATGAGTTGAATTGTGGCTGGATTCACACGCTGCAATACCCTATCATTAGCTTATATGATTTTAGCTTAGCATGCTGGTCAAACCTAAGGTTTGGTTTATTCAACAAAACAAGGCTAAACAAACCATGATTTGGAATTACACATGAACAAGAGTTATTAAAAAAATATTGAGAACTCACATGGGTATTTGGGGGAATGTGTTTTGTTTGTTTTTGGCTTAGCATGTGTGTACCCAGCCATCCCTTGGAGTGATTAGTGAATCAGGCCCATGTAATTAAGATAAAATAGGACTGCATTGTTGCCTTTATCCTCATCCATAAATGGAACGGATGCCAATTATGGGAAAGCATTCATTCATTCATTCATTCATTCATTCATTCATTCATTCATTCATTCATTCCCATAATGCCCCAACCTTGTAAGCAAAGATCATTCTCTATAAATATTAGTTTTTCACATCAGCTGGGGCATTGATCTTCCATGGCTTCCATCTCTTTTGCACCTTTCAGAATCTGATTTTTTTTTTACTCATAGCTTTGACTTCCCTTGCCCCAGAAAGAATAGTCCAGGAAAGAATTTCTACCTTGTCAGTACTCTTAACGAGCCAGACAATTGCCAACATAATTTGGGGCATAAACTCCAAGCCAAGAATGGCTTAATCCAACCCAGCATGGAAAAAATTCTACTTTTACTAAAAGGCACCACAGCCTTTTAGTAAACCACCTTTTGTCCTGCAATTCAGTAAAGCAGTTTGCAAATATTGTACAGAAACGCATAGGATTGAACGCCCAGTCAAATTTATTTTTGAGAACCACAGGTGAGCAAGTATCAGTTTTGTTGTTCATCTGTCAGAAATGCTCTAGTGAATCCTGCATTGACAGAGAGTGGGTTAGATGCCCTCCAAGATACTTCCCACTCTATGACTATATGCCCAATCTAACACAGGGGCATCTGCAGCAAACTGAGATTTCATCAAGATGATGAAACATGCAGGGATGTCACAGGCCAAGTAAAAAAGAGGTGGAGTTTGCATTGCAATGTCATGACACACATTTTGCATTTGCCTCCCTTCTGTCATGGATGTCCATGGACAGAAGGGTCTGCACGGCAGTAAAGGAGTGGGGGGAAACGATGAAATGTGTGTAGTGATACCTTGCAAAGCCCAGATAGGTTAGTTGCTGGAATTCTTGTAATCTCTTCCCTTTTTTCTTTAAATACATTTTTATTAGAATTTTACAATACAACAGAAGTATAAAAATGAAAAGAAAAATAAAAGATAATTAGAAAGTGAAAAAAAAAACCCATACGATTTTGACTTCCATCCCTCTATAGAGTAATTTCCCATCTTACTCATTCCCCTCCCTCTTTAACCCTTTCTAACCCCCAAATCCATTAATCTTCAGTTCTGTTTTTTTCTACTTTCAGCAAAAAGTCCATGTAAAGCTTCCAGTCTTTTAAGAAAGTCTTAATAGTTTTTTCCCTCACCAGAATTCTTCTAACCTCTTCCCTTCATTTCAATAAATTGTGCTAAAGAGAATTATGAGAATCATCCCTGGAAAAGAATCACTTAGCCGTGGCCAAGGTGCCTGATAGCTTCTAGAGTTCCCTCCTTCCTCTAAGGCAGTGTTGCTCAGCCTTGGCAACTTTAAGATGTGTGGACTTCAACTCCCAGAATTCCACTTTCAGTAAGCTTTTCTGTTTATAATTTTGGAGCTATACTCTGAAGTATCAGTTCAGGATCTTTAATTAAAAACTCAAATTGCACTTCCTTTGAAACTGGAGAAATGCCTTTAACGGCAGAATCTATATAAAGTGAACTTTGTTTTCTCAGTAACCCTTTATTATAATATATGCCAGTTTCCTACCCATATGGTGTACAAAATGGCTACCAATGTAAAATAAAATCCAAACTATTACATAAAAAGAGTTTAAATTAGTATCTCCCCTCCCCCTTTCACATTTAGGCTAAACATGCTGGTTGCAAATTTGGACCTGTTGAAATCCAGCAGACCTTATCAACACACAAAGACACTCTAACGATTGTGTCCTCTGGAAATACATTCTCCGAATGTCTGCAATACCACTGCCTGCAAAATCATCTGTTTTGACATCTTTCCAGGTTATGGGGACGTCTTAATCAAAAGGAATGATCTCTCTACAACAGTACTTTCTCAGTGAACTATGTAAGGTTTCTGTGACATTTTTGCTGATATCTGAGGACTTTATACATGCTCAAGATTGCATGCATGTAAACAGAGAAGTGATGGGGAAAAACCACAGGGAGCGCAAGCAGAATACAACACTGTTCAGTTCTAAGATAGTTTATTTGAAATTATAGGATATACTTCACTTTAACTATCCTTGTCTTTTGTAAGTTGCACTTTCAATAAGCTCTGACACGCACAAGTGTAATTTCTCCAGGTGATAAACCGTGGACTAGTTTTTCCCTTTCACCGGCAGGGGCGGAAGTCGCAGCTGAAGCCGGCATTAAGCCTGGAGAAATATATTTTATGAGGCATTTAATAAATTGACTAATTACACGCTCGACTGTACGCCACGTCTGCTTCTCTTTCAAGTAGTGATCCGCTGATCTAAATTATACTATTTATGCACAGCTACTGCGAAGAAAGCCCATCAACCACGCCGGGGATCACTGGTCCTGCTAGTAACGCGCAGGCTGGCTTTCAAGTATTCTTTTCTACCTGAAAAAAAGTGCAGTTTTCAAGCGGCAAGAGATCACGGCCAATTGCGGTCCGTTCCATGATTCCCAGTACCTCCAGCCACCAGTTTTCTTAGACCCGGAACAAATGGATTTGCTGCGTACGCTGCTCAGTTTTAAACATAACCGTATCTAGCTTTGGGGAAGAAGCACGTTTACAGTACACGACACGCGGCGTCGTTCTTTCGACAGGGGGGAAGTCAGTAAGGGAATCGACGGCGTGGGAAAAGCCAGAGACCGCCATTCCGGGAAGCTCACGAGAAGAGCGCGGCACCGTCCCCGGCTGAGACGGGCTCCGACCCACTTCCGAAAGGGAGCCGAAGGAAAAGAAGGTGGGGGGGGGGAGACGAACAAGGGTAAATATTCTAGGTCAGAGGACAAAAGAATCTCCTCCAACCAATCGGCTCCTCTCACGGGGCACTTTGTCACATTCAGTTCCATTCCGCGTCCACTGGACGGTACCATTTTGCTCGGGTGGTTCCCGTCCTCCTTTTTATATCTCCAGCGCCAGTTGGTTACAGGGCGGAAAACATACGACTCAATGTTGATCAGACACAGCAGCTGCCCACCGAACCGGCAGTTGGCGCCTCCGTTCTCTGCTTTCCTTATGCCATCCTTAACTGTCTTTTCTCTCTTCCCCTCATGAAGCGCAAATGGATCAGTCCGCTAGGCTATAAAAGCGTGGTGCAGCACATGCTTGCCTTCTATAGAGAGGAGCGTTTGAAGGGGAGCAGCACGCGGGGGAATGAAATTAGTGCGCTTACTTTTCTGGGGGCGACGTGGTCACGAGGGGGGCGAACGAGGAAGATAAGCAGACAAGCGCCTTAGTGGTTGTAAAATAATAAGGAACAAGAGAAAGCGCTGCGCTTTCTCTCCTCCCTCCGTCTTTTTTCGGAGGAGCTAGCGCCGTAAGGAGCAGGGAGGCGAAGAATGCTGGACTGGTTTTTCCCCTCCACCGGCAGGGGCGGAAGTCGCAGCTGAAGCCGGCCAAACTCCGTGCCTGTATAATCATAGCGCCCAGGCTTCCAGCCCCAGCCCAGCTTTAGATTTGTTTGCGATCGGGTTTCCTCCCGAGTGGGAGAGCAACCAGTTCGAGCTACAGGAAAAGGGGGTCGCCGTGCGTGCCTTGTCTCTTAAAAAAGCGCCTCCACCCCGCCCCCCGGGCCGTACACATCCTTGCTTTTTTGAAGAGCTGGTCAAACTCCCACCCCGGTCCCCGGCTGCCCTCTGGTACCGAGTGCTGCTCGGGGAAGGGATGGTTTGTCCTGCTCAGTCTGCCCCCGCAACGCCCGTGTCTTCCTCCTGAGCAAGCAGCATGAGCATGGCAAATGAAACATACCTCTTCATAAAAGACATAAAGCCCGGACTGAAAAATGTAAATGTCGTCTTTATTGTGCTGGAGATCGGTAAGTGGGGTCCCTTGGAACCATCGCATTCATTGTTTCCCTCCCTCAATCTCTCCTCCCCCCCCCCCCCCCCCCTATCTTTCCTTCCCCCCCTTCTGGCTCAGCAGCTACGTGTGTGTGTGTGAGAGCGAGCGAGTGAGTTTGGGACACGTGGTCACTTTTCAGGGAAAGGGTTGGCAGTCCCACTGGTGGTGTGCTCCACCCTTTTTTAAAAAATCCTATTCTTAAACAGACCCCCTCCTCATTCTTTTAGGGAACTTGCTTCTGTTTCTTATTTGTGGTATTTTTCTGCAATCAGTTCCAAAGCTTTTAATGCCACAGTTTCTTCCTAATCCTATTTACAGAGGAATAAATTATGCTGGCAGCTTGCATTCACTTTCTTGGGTCATTAATTCTTTCTCTTTCCCTCTCATTTTCTTTCTTCCTTTTTTTGTTTTTGTTTTTTGCTGTTTCCTGGCAGGGCGTGTTACCAAAACCAAAGATGGACATGAGGTCAGGGCGTGCAAAGTAGCTGACAAGACAGGAAGCATCACCATCTCCGTGTGGGATGAGCTTGGCAGCCTCATCCAGCCAGGTGATATTATTCGGTTGACCAAAGGGTACGTAATGCAAGATTAGGATGACTCTGGGCTGAGCTCAGCCTGGCTTCTTTGTTTGCTCTAGAAGCAACTTGTGTGTGACTTGGAAGGGAGTGTCCCCAAGCTTGGAGTGGGTACAATTTGTGCTGAATCAGCTGTGACTTCCATCTCTTTTGAAAAAAGAAGGGCAGTGGGAATAGGAATTCTTCTCTTACAAGGCTGCCATTAAATGTGGGAGCAGCAAACCAGTTGTACTTTCTCTAAACTGGGTTTGCTGACAGTACTTCTTCAGGGTCTTTTCCCTCCCCTCCTGCTTAATCCCCTTAACAGGAGGAGGGGCCAGGGTTTGAACCCATGACCTTGGTAAGCAGAAAGTGGTCCCTGTGTCACCCTGTCTCTTGGAAGAACACTTTTCCCCTCAGGTCTTGCTCCCATGAACAAGATCCAGAGAACAGCTCCTGAGGGTAAGCGGCAGGCACAGGAAGGGTTCACTCTTCCTACTGGTCTGCCCTCTCACTCTTTCACACTCAGCATTTTGTATATGATCGGAACTGACTCAGATATGAACAAAAGTGATTTCTGCCATTGTCTTTGGCTTGGTGTGTAGCAGTGGTGCCTTTCTTAACCATGTGTTGGCCATTGACTGACCTCTTAAAGCAGCCTTCCCCAATCTTGTGGCTCCCATTTTTCCAACCAACATGGCCATTGATCAAGTTGGCTGCAGGTGGTAACACTTGGAGGGGACTGGTTGGGAGGGTGGCTTAAAGAAACAGGTGACTTGCCCATTTTGTAGAAGTAGGTTGACTTAAGGTGTTTCCTGTAATAATGGAGAAGCAAAGCTATTCTCTCCCCTCCTGTCCCTCTCTTCCTCTTCAAGAACCAAGTTGGACCTGGCAGTGGTAGAGCATGACTTGGAACCTGTTCAAGTCTTGTGAAATAGAGATGTTACAATTCAAATAGCAGAACTTAACTGACCTTGTCTGATCTGGGGGGGGAAAATGGGTCAGATCAGGTTAGTATTTGGATGGGAGACTACTAGGAAATCTCCGAGCCAGAAAGCAAGGAATCATATTTATATTTTTATTTATTTTATGGAAGAAAGCAGTGGAAATGACTTCAGTATTGTTGCCAAGGAAACCACATGGCATGTCATATAATCACCAGGAGTCAAGCGTCATCTAAGAGATTTTACCTATTTAAAAGTCTGTGAGCAGGAGGAAGGACTAGAACCACTCTCTATAGCCATATCTTCTTCTCTGTAGATACGGTAGTTTGAGGGGAAGATTATTTTGGATTTCCTCCTAACAGGAGGGAAAAAGCTGCTGTTTTCTGGGGGAGGAGGGAGATTAGAAGGTATATGGTGGTGTTTAACCTTAAAGCCTGTTGCTGATGCTCTGAACACCCTGTCCAACCTTCTGAGCTTTTAAAAAAAGGTCTTGATAATCCATTTTATTTGCGTGGCTTGCTTGTGAAGGACAACGCCTGGAAGCAGCCTTTGGACAAGGCATCCTGCTTGATGGTACTTCTGTGACCCACGCATTTGTACATTGTTGATCTCCCTGCCATTTTTAGATTTATACCTCATATTTCAATATATGAGCTGGCCCAAAGTATGGCTTGTTATGGAGTTGGGAATTCAAGGCCTGCTCCCTCCAGCTTCTTCTGCATTGTCCCAGCAAAATGGGATCTGTAAGGCAAAATTTTCCAGATTGTGTTTTTTCTAAATAAGAGCAATGCCGGGGTGTCCTTACACAAATTGTAAATAGCTCTGTGTGCTTAGATATACTATGCTTCTTTGAAATTTGATATAGTAATGGATTGAGATCTTGTGTAATGTGATTTGTAACATATCTTTCCTGCTGCAGCTGGCTATTTCTGCCTCTTCTGTCAATGAGCCTCCATCAAGCATTACTGGGAAAGCTGGCTTATTTTAAAATGGAGGGAGGCAGAATTAACAATTAGCAGTAGAGCATCTTATTTTATTACCAGTATCCTGTATTTTTTGCACCAAATTCAGTCTAGAGGAAGTTAACAGGTTTCAGGGATGCCCTTGTTGAATTATTTCCCAGTTAGTATTAAAAACAAGAACTTACGCTATGTTTTATCACATTCCAGTTAGCTGGACCTTCAGTTACTTTCTATAATTAACACAGGCTTGTTTGTATTTGTCTTTATTTTTTGTGTTAAAACCATGTAGAAATACACAACAATGTATGTCCTGGTCAAATCTTGCATGAACTTTGAATTTCCTGAGAAGAGTTTATGGGTATAATAGGGTGGCTCCTCCTACATGGTGCTTGTAATGATGACATGTTTTGAGTAGATCAAGTAGCTTAAAAAAAATCTAGAAAATCAGCAATGTGGCAGTGATGAATACTAACTGGTTGCCGGTAGCACCACTGTTCCGTAAAAGCCTCTGGTCGGTTTTGCAGTTATTCTTGTGTAATCTGAGGCAAGGATGTGGTTTTAAGGAGTTGCTGATTGGTGTTGTGTTGGTGCCCTCCCACACTCCGGATCATCTTTTCTCTTTTGAATCCTGTTCGCTACAGCCCTGACGTGAAGCCCTGCTCCTGGCCACACACTCAATTAGAATGGCCTAATACGTTTTTCTTGTTGTATATTGGACTACAGTCATCCACTACTAAGACTTGTGCAATAGGTAGTTTGGAGTTAAACTGGGGGGGGACTTGTCTTCAGACCTCCTTGTCTGCCAAGTTCATAATGTCCTGCTGTTCAGACTATTCTCTCCAGTTTAACTGGCCTTAGAATCGTGCAGCTGGAATGAAGTGGAATAACCCTACAACCATTTAGAATACCTTGGACAGAGGTTTGGAGGCAAATGTGACATACCCGGAATATGACTGGAACATATTTTTTTGGCTTAAATGTAAAATACAGTTATGGCTGCTTGCTTGGGAACAATGATACAAGACTTGCTTCTATAGCAATATGCACATGTAACCAGATTTTACCCTTAGGCTAACTTGTAAGCCCTTCGTATTACACCTTGGCACAATACCATATTAAAGTTGCTTTCTATATGCGTCTTTGCAGAACTATTATGTGACTACACAAAGAGACGGATAACTTCTTTGGAGACTGATAATCCAGCGCTTCTGCTGTCGGTGCAAAAGTTTTAGAAGCATTGCTGATTTATAAGCAGACAGTATCTTTGCCCCCTTTTTATCAGCCTCAGTAAAAATCATCTTTGTAAGGAGTTATTTTGTTGAATTATGAGTCTCAAGGGCCAAACAGAGGCATAAAGTGGAATGTATTACAGGAACCATATTTAATACAAATTTCAGTTACTTAACTCTTTAACTTGATAAAATTCTCCAAGTATTTAGTAATTACAACCGAAGCATAAAAGTCAGCAGTTAATGTAAGGCAAGTCAGAGTTTAATGTTTCAGTGTTTTAAGTACATTTTGTATTCTCTCCAGTTTTGATGAGTGTAATGATGAATGTGATGGCCTTTGGTGAGCGACGGCTTATGCTTTATCCTGATAAAGCTGGTACCGTCACTCCATTCTCTTCTAGCATGTCTAATACTGCTTGTGTTCCCTTCCTTAGGTATGCATCTCTGTGGAAAGGATGCCTGACGCTTTATACTGGAAAAGGAGGTGACCTGCAAAAAATTGGGGAGTGAGTATCTTATTTTGCATATAATCTGGTCATTTTTCTGAAATCTGGTAGGTAAGGAAAAGTTGTCTGGGCCTTAAGGGAAGAATGTCTGTCTCTGCCATTTACTCCTGCTCTATGGTGTTTATCCAGCTTTTCTTGTAAAAGTCCTGCTCTTAGTATTGGGTTTTATTCTGCCTGAAATGGGGGTGGGGGAATATAGGGCTTGGGAATTCTACTTCAATAGTTGAGAAATGGCATCTCGATCAGTCCTTTCCATCCAACATGATTTCTGTCTTTTCAGTATAGTTGTAAGCAGGTAAGTTTAGCCTTTTGTTGGGTTAAGACATTGTCACTTTCAAGGACTTGCAGCACGAAAAACTGAAGTCCTCTATTTATCCACAGGCCAGGTACGGTAGAGGCAGCCGCATTGCGAGCTTCCACATCCTACTCTGGTATTGAGCTCCAGCCTGTCCTGGAGGAGCCAGCCTCTCTAGGGGTGTAAAGGTAAATTTCCCCCTCTATGTAGCAGAGTCTTTTAGGTCCTAACTGAGGTCTCTGAGATCTACTGTGTCATGAATCAGACTGTTGGCTTTTTTTTTTTTAGCATTTATCAACTTTGAGTAGGCTGTTCATTGAGACCTGTCATAAAAGTTTAAAAGCAAAGAGCTGGACCAGTTCAAATTTGTTACTCCAGGGGCTGGTTCATCCTGACATGAATGATGATGGGAGCATCAGATGATGACTGGGTGGGCTATCAGAGGTCTAGCCCTGGGTTGAAGATGCTTATTTCCCCTTGCGTTATGTCAGATGCAGTGGAAGGGTTCTTGGCTTTGGGTTTTCTGTGAATTGGATTTACTGTGTATTCAACAAATGAGGACTAATGTGATATGCGAGCCCATTCAAACTTTTTCAATAATTGGTTCATAATTCATCTTCCAGTCATTCTGTTATGATCAAGTGATCATGCATGTGTAAACCAGGCTAGAATAGATAGAACTGTGTTCTAAATATTCCTAACAGCTGCAATGTTAGATGGCCCTTGTGTGATTATGCTTTCAGCCTAATTTATCCAATAAGACCTCTGATTATTCATAGTGTATTACCTTCCACTATTTCTGCTTCCATTTTTTAATAAAAGCAAAAAACCCAAAGAGTTCCTGTAACTTGTAGGATATTGTCATAAAGGGAAAAAAGTGAAAATTAATAGTTGTGTTAGAAAATAAGTGTTGCAATGGAAATAGCATAGGGTGGGTATTTTAGCAGAGAAAAAAGTGCTGATCACCTGAAAATCTGGGTTTAGAAAAGATTAGTATATATTTCTGAAATAAGTGGCTATCTGATTTTAGTTGGGGGGCTGTGTGATGCCAGAAATTGAAAAGCATCTGTTTTGGATTTTTGGCTAGTGTGGAAGATTGTTCTGGTGAGCAAAATGTCTCTTAACAGATTCTACCCCGCAGGAGACTTAGATCCAAAATACAATTGATTGGAAGAGGAGGCTTTAAAGAGCAATTTAAGATGCAGAATTTTGGGTGCAGTTATGTATTTGGATTGTTAACTGTTCTTAAACATTTCTCCTTGGAATCCTTGTACACTAGACTTACTATGTCTTCTCTGTGTGGCTTAAATCTAGGCGTGCTTTCATACAAGTGAGGCATTCATGATTCCGTGGATCTCACTCCCAGGGAAATGTACAAAGGATTGTAGCCCTGATGTGTATCCTTCTGCAGAAATGATTAGAATGTTAAATACAGGCATCTACAGTAGAAGGAATGTGTGCTTAGAATCACAACCTACTCAGAAGCCAGTCCCATCACTTGTACAGGCTTTACTTTTCTTAGGGCCTGAACTTTGGATAGGCTAAAGCATCGAATTGGTGGTCTGATGGGGGTACAGCCATTTCTGGCTACCTCTGGGTTTATCGCTGGAAATTGGATAGAGATTGCAGAAATAGTTGCAGCAAGAAACGCTCTTCTCTCATAAGCTTGTTTTTCTGTACAGGTTCTGCATGGTGTATTCAGAAGTGCCCAACTTCAGTGAACCCAATTCAGATCACCCTGGGCAGTCGAATAAAGTGGTACGTTTGTCACACGCAGCTCCATTCTGGGGTCTGCGATCAGCAGTTTTAAGCTAAGTTTAGCTTCAGTCTGTCTAATATGACCTTAGCTGCAGTGGATTTTGCATCTTTATGGGAACAAATGGACTTTTAAATAAATGGGAGGAAAATACCTGGTCAAGAAAAAATCGGCAGCTGTTGTAGATACTGCCCTCCAAGCCCCATGCCATTTTCTGTTCCACAGAGGAGGTTTGTTGTCTTAATGCTTTTGTTTTCTTTGCATTTCTTTTTCAAGGCACAGGGTGAGCAGACTAATAATTCCATTCCATCAGCTAATTCGGGTACTTGTACTTTTGGGCCAACTGGTAAGTAAGTGTGTAGGAGTAGGAGAGAGAACTGAATGACTATTCAGGAACATGCATTTCTTTAAATTATGGTTGATTTTAGAAAGTAAAGATAAGAAACCATAGTTAACTTTGGCTTGCTCCAATATTAACCGTCATAATTAAAGCCAAATTTGACATAGAGTTTAAATAGTAAGCACACTCTACTTGCCCAGCCCTGGGGTCATGACTGATGCACTACCCAAGACCTTGCTGGAGAAATCTCAGGGAGAGGTACTCACTGCTCCTTGTCCAGCCAGGTTTTGGTAATACATGTCAGGTTGCACCTCCTATTCCACAATTTCATCATGGTTAGGTTGATTAGACAGACCAGGAGTCTGTTTTCTTCAATATAGCCCCATGTACATCAACCATTTTATCAGGTGGCAATTTACTGGGGAGAACATACAGGGAACTGGTTCTGAGAAACCATAAGTTCCTAATGCAGATGATGATAACCAAAAGCCCCAGGGCACAATAAAAAGGTATTTGCTACATAATCTCCTCCTGTGTAGCTAAATGCTCCCGGTAAATTAAAACCTAATAAAAAAGATCTTGCACCATCATGTATATTGCAATTTATCTAGATAAATGTTTCTCAATCTTAGCAACTTTTAAGATGGGCGGACTTCAACTCCCAGAATTCCCCAGCCAGCATCTTCCAGTCCACCCATTTTAAAGTTGCTGAGTTGGGAAACACCGATCTAGATGATGACTGCTATGCTAACTTCTTTTGCTAGCTTTGGTGCATGTTTGTAGGTTGGCAGGAATTACATGCATTAAACAGAACTCTGAAGATCCTGCTAAGTCACTAAAACCTGTAGCTGCTTGTTTTTCTTGTGCATTGATTACCATGGCACGGCAAGCTGTCTCTTGGGACCTTGTGGTCTCCACCGATGATATCACCAGCTCTCAGCAACTTAATGCTAAATGCTCCCTAGTTGAGATCAGGCTCTTTGGAGTACAGTGTTAGCAATCTTCATTACTAAAGTGTGGCCTGAGAAAGTAGAAAGTCTGATGACAGTTTTTTTTTTTATTGTTTCCTTTTTTTTAGGAAATGGTTTGCCAGCTGGACCAGAGCTGAGTGGATTGTCAACGGCTTACAATCATGCCCCCACTTATGCAGGTTCTGGGAGGGTTGGCGGACGGGGGCCTGCTCCTCCTCTAGCACCTGTGCCGTCTAATAATGTTCGTCCCCTACAAAGCACAATAAGTAATGGGAGGGACCCCCGCAGAGCCTCCAAGAGATGACCAAACCAAACGCCTCCCTGTCCACAGAACCTCTTAAGCCTACTTGAACACTTGCTGCACTTTTATTTATGGTTTACTGTGAAAACATTTTGTTCGTTCTTTCTGATTCTCAGCCTTCTCTGATGGGAAAGACTTTCTCGCTCTTCTGCCCCCCTTGGTTCAAAAATTCAGTGAAGCTGCTGATCATGCATTACCCCAGAAAGAAAATGTGTGAAAATATGGAGGCATATTTGGAAATAGATTTCCTTGTTAAAGATTAGTTGCTGTTTTCCAAAAGAAAACCTGGTTTTGGATGGATGAGTATTCTTATTTTGGTTTAGTTTGCATGATGCAGCCTTAAGATGTTAGTTTATTTCCTTTCTGCTCCTGGGACTGACCCACATCCCAGCTGGTGGGAGCTTATGATGGTTGGGGGGTGGGGATGGGTAGGGAGAAGTTTCATCTAGCAAGCCAGTTCTCAATTAAAAACTTCTAACAATAAGTGCAGATGAACTGTCCAAACTGGTTGACTTGTTATTTGGTTGGGGTGCTCTCACAGCAAGGGTCAGATGTCTCTTTCAAAAAATGTATGCTGATAAGAATCCAACTGATATAAAATAGAAATTCAAGATATTTACCAGATATCCTGCCTTTCAGTTCACAAAATGCTGCAGTTTTTTTTTTTTTTTAATTACCCTTCTCAGGGATTGAAGCTTTTCATTCTTGAAGTAAAGTATGTTGTTCTTCAGAGCTTTTCTCGGTGACCAAAGCCCCTACTGGTGTGGAGTCACCTGGAAAACCTTTACCGGTTGATTCTGCAGATGGCTGCTTTACAAGCAACACTGATTTCAAGTGGCAGGTAATGGTTTCAAGATGGTTGATGTGCAGGGAAGAGAAGAAGGATTTCCTGTACACAGCCAACAAACATCCTAGACGTAGAGATTTTCCATTTGCACTGTTTTTTTTTTTTTTCCCCTTGGAGCATGAGAATATTGAATCTCAGATCTGCAGATCACGCAGCAGCGTTCTCAAGGGGTGAATGATTGAAGCGGTGTGGTTTAATCACGTTTGTGTGTGTGTTGTGACGGATGCAGCCTATATGAAAGGGAGGGGGCTGGTGTTGCGGGGCCATGAGGCTGCTTCCATCCTTGCCACAAAAGGGGGTCCTTCAGACACCTCTGAAGCCATCAGCCTCCTAAGGAGCATCAGCCTACCCAGACGGCTGAAGTGAAGAGCTACAAACAAAAGGTGGATGTGATCACTGAGAGCATTCCCTTTTCGTGAGAATCCTCAGTTCTTAAGTGCCTGTTACACCAATACAGTTATGCTCTTGCAGCACTTACCTTGGTGGTGGGTTAGGTTGGGGTTTTTTTTGGAAAAAGAACCTTGGCCCTGACCAATTTGGGTTGTTTTCAGGCTGCTGAGTTTGAGAAAGCAGAATAATGCTGGCATTAATCCTAACCTTTATGGTTAAAAAAAATCTACTTTGTACCAATTTTTTTGGTAACTCTAAAACTATCCAGTCTTCTTTAAGATTATGATTGGAATAAATTGAAATGCTGTAAGATGGCTGGATTCCCCCCCCCCTTTTTTTGGTTACCTTTTGGAAGAAGACCTCATAATAGATTTGCACTAACTGTGTTATATTAAGAAGAAAAAACATTTTTTTCTTGGTTTAAAAAAAAAAAAAACTCAGTTCAAAGCCGTGACTTCTGTCTGTCCAGATTTACATGGACGTAAATATAATTCCCAAGTGTAGAGGATGAGGATATGTGCTAATCTTTGTAACAAACCTCGGAAGAGTTTTGAAGCACCTCCCACTGTCCTTTTTCTAAAATGGTATGTCTTGTTAAATGACATTTGTAGTTGCTTACTGAAAGCTTTAGTAGTATATGAACTGATTGGAAGGAAACATGATAGATCTGTTTTGAAATGCCCCAGCATAAATACTGATTTTATGTAATTTCGGCATTGCATCTTGAAGTAGGAGGGAATTCCCATGATGCAATGCAGTGTCTTAAGAATCTGATATGCTTTCTGAATAAAATCTAGTAGCTGTGGATCGTCAGTCTCTTCACACCTTGTACAGTTATGTCTAAATATTTTGGTAAGTCAAGGTATTGTGGGAAACAGTTCTTCCAACGGCTGTAGAATAGAGGAGATGGGATGTGGCTGCTGTTCATAAGTTTAGGTATAGTTGAGAAGTGGCTTCCTGCTGATATATAACTTTTGGTGTTCTCCCTTTAAAAACCAAGCACGGGCTGTCAAAAGAAACAGGGCTTTTGTATTCTGTGTGATGACGTGCACGAATGCTAGGTACCGTTCTATAAATAATATTGGGAATTACATTGGAACATTCTGCTAAAACATAAGATCCTTAACAAAGGTTTATTAAATTAACCACAATTGCATGGGTTTGTGCAAGGCCAAATAAACCAAATGATAGTTTGGAATAGCATGAATCCAGTCACAATCTGGGCTTTGAGATGGCGATCAGGGGCGAGGGGTCTGCAGTGTCACTAGGTAGTGGCCACTGGCCTCCAAATTCAAAAGAGATTCAGCGCATCTTTAATTTTTTAAAGCAGGAATTAGCCAAAACTTTAAAGATCTTTTGGTTTGCGGGATTTGAGATTTTGGCTATTTTTATTGTTTATCTGTTGCTCATATGAGTTTGTATGAAGTCACAGGATGGTTCCTGTCACCGGAAAGCTTCCTGCCCCTCCTTTAACGTAGCTGGGCCCTTCATTTGAGTCATCTTAGTGTTTGTGTCTTCCCATCATGAGAACATACTGAAACATAATTTGCTACTCTTGCAGCAAGCTCTTTGTGTGATGGGTTAACAGCAAGCACGAACAAGTATCTGAAGATTCTTGTGGCTCTCCAGCCTGCCTGACCTTTTACAGAAGTGATGCACTTGGTGTGCTTGGCGATAAGAGGAACTTGCCTTTCTTCAAGGGCATTTCAAAACAGCCAGATGGGTTCTGTGAACAGTGATGTCGCACAAAGGAAGTGAGATTTTTAAGAAATTCCTATTGTGTTGCCATAGGAATTAACCTTGATTATGATCTGGCTATCTAACATTTATGGACTGCTGTTCATTGCCTGATACTCTTCATGCCAGTCATGATTACCTTAATCAAAAAACCAGTCATCTGTAAACCATGATACGTTACCAGCTTCTTAAAGATTAAAGGAAAGGGGTTAGTTATAAACGAGGTGCTTGAGTTCACTGGGACACACTAAGTTCTGTTTGCTTGGCGTAGAAAACTGAAAGGATCATCTCAACCATAATTGGCTATTTTAAAAGATGTTTTAATAAAGAGTCAAGTCATGCTTTCAGAGAAGAGTATCTTGGAAATAAGCTCAGAATGTGTGTTGCATCAGTAACGTTTTTTACTTAACATGACGTCTTGCCCCTTGATTGATAGCTTTTTATTTCAAGGAAAATCTCTGTTGAGGCAATAGAACAAATCAAACAGGACAGGGGGATGTTCTGCTTGGTCACTCTCCTGGTGGATTCGTCTTGGTATGTCCTGTTCCCTTTGAAGAAGGTCCTAAGAATTGTTTTGGAGGGATAGTGCATAGATGGCTTTGGCCACTAGGGTAGGAAAAAGTGGCCCCAGTGAGTGGAGAAGGTAAAGCTGATCCTGACTATTTCTGCTGGGTTCTCAAACTTAGGTGCATCTGGTTCACACATAAGTATTCTTAAGTACTAATTTGCATAACTATTGATTAAACCAAGATTGGCTGATATAGCGCATCATATTAAAACATGGGTTATGCTATTTATGAGCTCTGTGTGGTGGTTAACTAAGTGCATTCCATTGTGGTAGGAAATTAGAGAATCAAGCATAATCTATTGGCTTCCATGGGCACTTTTGTGCTCTTAATTCTAAAATAATCCTATCTTAAAGTAGTTAAACATCACTATCTTTATATTGGCAGCTTCTAATCAAACAAATAGCCTCAGTTAAGGATGTATGGAAAAGCAGCTATGTGGAATGTTTAGAGATACTTCTATGTGACTTTCTTTTGACCATTGGGTGGCCATAATTCTATAAGATCAAGCTTTGATGATCAACCTTTGATATTACAGGCATAGGACTTGATCTGAGGGTGGGTGAGAGCACGGTCCCTTTCACTAATAAGCCTATTTCAGGATTTACAGTGTTTTCCTGTGTTGTCTGCTTCAAAGTAGCTGAAGATTTCCATCAGTTTTTAGTAATCATAACGAGGATTCCAGAAAGGGGATGGGGGACTACATGTTACCCACTGTAAAAGAGGTCTTTTCAGGTCCTGAACCAGCACATGCTGCTCTAAAAGAAACTCTGAGCAGTTAGCTGTTCCATGTCTATCCTATATCCACTGCCCCCCCCCCCACATAATCACCACAATGATTGTCCACTTCAGTTAGCAAAATAGAGAATGGCCCATTAAGTTGAGTGACTAAGAAAGTTGAGATCATCTGGAAGTAATGTCAATTATTAACTGACATTTTCTTGCCTCAAACATTGCTATGGCTGTCAGCTTCAAAAACAGGATGGAGAGGGAGGGAGGGAGAGAGAGAGAGAGAGAGAGAGAGAGAGA